ACTATGTACACTCTACACACTTTACGCATGCACCATATACACTATACAAACCACACTGTATACACTATACATATACACACAATGTACACTGTATACACACTAATTTACACTATACACACACTAGACATATAAACTATACACACACTATATATACATAACACACCACACTATATGCTCTATATACACACACGATATACACTGTACACACACTGTACATACACACACTATGTACAATATATTTACACATATTATATTCACTATACAGACACTATATTCACTACACTATACACACATACTATATACACTACAACATACTATGTAGCCAGGGGGCAGCCTTCGCTACCCCCTGAGACCCTCACAAAGGCCCTCTCATCATCAGACATCCTATCCCTCTGGCCTTCCACCCGCGGAGATCCTGAAGCAGCCGTCCAGCTGCTCCATGATCGCCTCTCCTCCACCTTCAACTCCCTCGTCCCCGAAACCCAGGACCATCTCCAAACCCACCCGATCCCCCGGTATAACAACCATCTCCGCCGCCTAAAAACCCAAACCCGGCTGCTCGAGCGCAGGTGGTGGAAAACCGGCCTTACAGTCCACCGCCAACTGTGGCTCGAGCATCTCCATAGCTACCGACGTTCTTTGACACGCGCAAAAAACGGCTTCTATTCCAACATCATCTTGGAGGCTAAACACAACCCTAAAATCCTTTTTTCCACCACCCACTACCTCCTCCGTGACCCCCTCAGGCCTCCTCAATCTTCATATCAAATGCCAGGAGGTCATGGACTTCTTTTCTTCTAAAATACTTAACATCCGCCAGACAGCCTCCTCCTCCTGCCCCTTGTCACCCACCACCACACCCTCTCTACTCTCTGTCCCCCTCACCTTCCTCATCATCTGCTCCTACCACCACCCCCATCCTACATTCCTTCCTCCCCATCTCTCCCTCCTCCCTCTCACCCACCATCACCTCCATGAAACCCACCACCTGCTGCCTTGACCCCCTCCCCACCAACTTACTGGTCACACAGCTCCCCCTCCTCTGCCCACTACTGGCTGACATCATCAACCAGTCCCTCTCCTCCGGATCAGTCCCTGACCCCCTCAAAACTGCTGTCATCACCCCCCTCCTGAGAAAACCCTCCCCAGATCCCTCAAACCCCAGCCATTACTGCCCCATTTCTAACCTGCCCTTCCTCTCAAAAGCTCTAGAACGCGTTGTTGCCAACCAACTCCGCGCACACCTCTCCTCCCACTCCCTCTTCGAACCCCTCCAGTCCGGTTTCCACCCACCGGACAGTACAGAGACTGCGCTTGTGAACGTCACAAATGACATCCTCTCTATCTGTGACCGGGGCTCCCTCTGCCTCCTTGTCCTCCTGGACCTCTCCACCGCGTTCGACACAGTCCATCACGCCATCCTCCTCCACCGCCTTTCCTCCGACATCCACCTCAGTGGGACCGCACTCGCCCGGTTCGAGTCCTACCTCACAAACCGCCAGCAGTACATCTGCACAAACGGCTTCTCCTCCCGCTCTCACCCGGTTACCTGTGGGGTCCCCCAATGATCCATCCTTGGCCCCTCCTCTTTCTGATCTCTGTGCTCCCTCTTGGGGATGTCATCCAGACATGGGGTACATTTCCACATGAACGCGGACGACACCCAACTCTATTTCTCCACCTCTCTTTGTGACCCCCAATCCCCTGATGTTCTGTCGGCTGTCCGTCAGACCTCAGGGGTTGGATGAGCGCAAACTTCCTTCAGCTGAACGTTGTCAAGACGGAAGCCATACTCTTCGGCTCTCGTCAATGTCTAAAATTTCACGGCTCTCACCTCTTCCACCTACGTGACCTCCCCCTGAAACTCTCCGAACCCATATGCAACCTAGTCGTCAGGTTCGACCCCCAATTATCCTTCCTCCCCCACATCCAGTCCCTCACCAGCACCACCTTCTTCCAACTCCGACACATCGCCCGTCTCCGCCAATACCTCTCCCTAAAAGCCGCTGAAACCCCGGTCCAGGCCTTTGTCACCTCCCGGCTGGACTACTCTAACGCCCTCCTCACCGGTCTCCCATCCACTATCATCCATAAAATCCAAATCATTCAGAACTCTGCCGCCCACATTCTCACCCGCACCAAAACCCTCTCCCCGATCCCCCCAGTCCTGGCCAGACTGCACCGGCTCCTGTCCCAGAGAGGATCGACTTCAAGATCCTCACCCTTGTATTCAAGTCCCTGCACTCCTCTGCACCCCCCGACCTCTCTGACCTCCTCTCTCCCCAAAACAGTGGCCGCTGCCTTCGTTCCTCCGGGTCTGTCCTCCTCCTTGACCCCCGAGTCCTCTGTTCCACCCTCGGCGGCCGTGCCTTCAGCCACTATGTCCCGAGGCTCTGGAACTGCCTTTCTCACTCCCTTTGTCTCGCGTCCTCCCTTCCTATTTTCAGATCTTGGCTGAAGACCTTTCTTTTTGACCGCGTCTTTGGTCACCTTCCCTCCCAACCTCCCCCTGGCTCCCCCCCCTCCCCCTGGCTCTCCCCCCTCCTCCTGGCTCCAATCCCTCCCCCTGGTTCCCCCCCTCCCCCTGGCTCCCCCCCTCCCCCTGGCTCTCCCCCTCCTCCTGGCTCCAATCCCTCCCCTGGTTCCCCCCTCCCCCTGGCTCCCCCCCCTCCCCTGGCTCTCCCCCCTCCTCCTGGCTCCAATCCCTCCCCCTGGTTCCCCCTCCCCCTGGCTCCCCCCCTCCCCCTGGCTCTCCCCCCTCCTCCTGGCTCCATCCCTCCCCCTGGCTCCCCCCCTTCCTCTGGCTCCCCCCCCCCCTGGCTCCCCCCCCTTCCTCTGGCTCCCCCCCCTCCCCCTGGCTCCCCCCCTCCCCCTGGCTCCCCCCCCTCCCCCTGGCTCCCCCCTCCCCCTGGCCCCCCCCCACTCCCCCTGGCTCCCCCCCTCCCCCTGTGAGACTCAGATCCAGGACGGAGACTACGAGTACAGCTGGAGCTATGGCTTTGGGTGGGGAGCCACCATCCTGATGATGGGCTGTTGTCTCTTCTTCTGCTGTTTGCCCAAGTACGAGGATGAGCTGTACGGAGACGCCAAGCAGACCTACATCATCGGCTAGGACCCCACAGACACCCAGACACCGCCCGCACGCAACTCCATGCCCTGCCACACGCAAAACACGTACACACCTTCGAGCACTCGCACAGGCACACGCACGTACACCGACACTTACACTTAACGCGCACGCGCAACACGCACATTCTCAGTTGGACGCGCCCACACACAACATACATAACAGCAACCAATTAACAGCAAATTACATTTGTATAGCGCATTTCACGTGGGATGGACACACATACATGTGCACACATACATGCCACATACATGCACGGGCACACCCATACACACATGTCCTTATACCCCACGCAATCTCATATGCATTTATTTTTCTATCCACACACGGGGCGGAGGTGGGGGAA